TTCCCTCATTTGCCCAGAGGGTTTTATTTCATTTAATTTTGCTTTGAGCGCTTTTCTTTCTTGATTCCATTAAACCTTTTCATAATTTGGACAAATCCATTTATACTTCTGCTTGCTTTAAATCAGGAGTGTAAACCAGAGACATGCAAACAACCTAATGAAATGCAGCTGTCTGGTATTATATCATGCATTCCCAGTCACAGGTACAATCGCAGTAGAGTAAGAAATAGCATGTGCACTTTATGAATTGGGTATGATCTAAGCCCAGATAGTCATGGCAGGATTGATAATTGCTACTGGAGGCAGTAGTTTGCTGCTTTAATATTTGCTTCACTGAATGTTAAAGGTTTGTTTTGCACTGGAATAATTTGCCTGCCTGAAGTTATTTGTGTCTCAAAAAAAATTATCAAAATGGGGCTTGAGGCACCAGAAAAGAGCTGCTAGATGACGAATATTTGCAGTACAATTCTTGGTGCATTTAAGTTATACCATTTTGAAGACAGGATTGTTAGTACATTAGTTTTAAAATTAAGAAGCTTTAGTGGAAGATGCCTGACCTGCAATGGCCAGAACAGCAGTCTCATTTCAGATTATGGAAATACGTAACTCCTTGGTCAGTGCCATTGATAGGTGTTCATTAAATCTTTCAGTACAAATTCTAGTTCTTTATATGCAATTTAGACTCAGGCGTGAGACAACCCCATCCATAGAATCAGTGTGCCCTTTCCAATGGCTATTAATATCTCCATTGTTACCAAAACCAGTTTTAGACTGCAATTTTCCAGATGGAGACTTCTGTGACTTTAAGTACCATAACAAAGATAGCATCTGCCTTTCAGGAAGAAAGCAACATTAACAACAAAAAGTACAACCTACATGTTAGTTCTTGTAATTGTAAATTTTGGGAGTAGCTCCTGCAATTCTAGTTATGTACATAGTTGAAAAGAATTCTGTTAAACACAGACTTAATTTTAAGCAGTAGTTAACATTCTTTCTTGAAACATAAAACTTGGTGCACTGCCAGTGGAAAAGATGTGCCAAAACAGAATTTCTCTTATTACAGCCAAAGCAAGTGTCAGATGTAATCGCAGTATGTAGAGGCTCAGTTATTGCCAGTAGTGATCAGATCATTGATAGCTCAAGTCTGGCATGCTTCTTCTAGTGGTGGGCCTGTATTTGAAGCATCAGGGAAGTCATCCAGTTAGCTATCTCTTTGATAGAGTGTTGTAATTTGAACGTTCTTAAAATCAGGTTATGTAAGGAATATAATAAGTTCTATAAGGAAAGGGGTAAACGGCTGTATTTCTAAAATGTCTCCTCCCCACCCTTCCTATTCATTCCACCCAGTGCGCCGCTCCAAAGCTGCAGATGAGGAAAGGAGCCACAAAGCCCGCAGGGCCCGGGATGAATACCGACGGCAATCCCTGCGTGCCATCCAGAAGGGAAGAGTGGCTGGCCTGAGTAATTTGTTCCAGGGGACAAGCCTGAATAATGATCAGGAGATAAAACTGAACAACAACAGTGCAAGTCCTTTGCTGTCTGTCTCTGCAGCATCCAGGTTGGTTTGTACAGGAGTGACTTGGAAATAGCTTTCTGTTGAATTGTTCCATCTCCTGTCCCACCATTTCAACAAGTTGCTCTTCAGTTGCTGGAAATTCTGAGAGTATTGCTCTTTCATTAGTACCAGAAAAAGGATGTTCAAAGAAAAATGAAAACACTGAATCCTTAATGTAAACTAAATGCCATTTATTTTTCAGACAGATTTCTTAGAGTTCACAGAGAGACGGGTCCTTCAAAAGTCAGTATTAGATTAGTATGCAAGGCTGTGATATGGAGAAGTCAAATGGACAAATTCTTAGACAAGTCTTAAGTCTCAAGCCTAAAACTGCCTGCTGCTTAACAGCTCTTTGAAGCATTTTACAGAAAGCTGTCCTACTCCTAAATTTCAGGGATTTTTAAGTCTTGCTTCAGGCAAAATCAAGTGTCTTCAGTGTTTATTAGTCTTTCATCTGACTATTTAGGGAGTGCCATGAATTGCAGAAGAGGAAAAGAATCCAAACTGGCAGATGGGTGCTAGAAAGATGACTAGCCACTCTACTCTTCCTGGTTATATCTTATACCATTAATTTGGCATCATGTGGTGATAAAGGCAATGTGAGCACTGACAGGATGGTAGCATTAAATGCTAAAAAAACCCCAAACCACCACTATCAACAATCACTATCCAAGCTCAGAAAGGAAAGAGTCCCGTTACATTGTTTTTCTTTACCAGTCAGTGTGGCGCCAGAGAGAGTCACACTCTCATTGTTTGGAAATGCGTTCTGCTTTGACAAGTTCTTTGATCAGCTGTGTTGAGACACACAAACTTTCCAGTAACAGCAGCCAAAATTCCCAGTTTGAGGAGGAATCAGAATTTTACTCTGAGTGAGCAGGATCTTTACAGTTACTGTCAAATCAACTTGTCAAAGGAATTCTCTCATTGTTTTTCCAAGCTACTTAAAGCCCTCTTCAAATTGAAGCAATAAAAACACCAGTAAAAATGGCAGATTTTGAAAAAGATGGTCCATAACTTTGACATGAAGTTCTGAGCTTCTGAGGTGAGGTTATTTACTATAGCATTTGGTGGTGCTAGATGTGATCCTTTTCAAGAAGAGCCTGAAAAAAAGCTGAAAAATATTCTGATTATTATCCAGCTCATGTTCAATACTATTTAGCTGTTTCTAAGCTATGCTTATACTTCAAAAAAACAGGCAGTATTTATTTTTCTTTTAAGGGTCCTCTTTGTCAGTGTCCATGACTTGATTGTGAAGGTATCAAGAAAAATCAAAGTTGCTTTAAACGTGTGCTTTAATAGTGAATATGCATAAATGTATATAATTCAACTTCTCACACCTAACACTGGTATGGTAAAGCAGGAGCAGATGTGTATCTACAATTTTACTTTGCCAGCGGTCCAGGAGGTCAAGGAGGAGATGCACAGAATGTTGTTGTTTACCACTAGTGTGAGACAGATATTTTGCCTCAAGGGAGTGTGGATTCAGTGTTATGTGTCTAAGTTTTTCAGCATTAAGCATAGCTCCTGTAGTTTTTACCTTGCCTTGCTTTTTCTTTTAAAAGTCACATAAAAATAGCATTCTTCTAGTTTTTTACTTGAGATCTGTTTTTCTTATAATTTCTATCTAGTTTAGAAAGCTTCAATTTGATTTTTTTTCTACTGTCTTTTTTATTTTGCTGAGTGTTCTTTTCCCAGTGTAATTCTCTGGCCCGCTTATTCACTTCTATCCTTTTGCCTACTGTGTTTTTTTAATTTTTACTTTTGTGGTTGTATTTCTTTCTTCTTGTCCCTGCTGGACAAGCTCGACCACAGTAGCTGTATAGAAACTGACACAGTAATTTTGTGATTTGGCCCAGGGCAGGAAAAATTATGGATTTGACAAGTTTTTCAAAACTAAACTGAATTAGAGAGAAATGAGTTAAGGAATACGAATGGACCATATAGCTCTGGAATTCAAAGGGTTTCTTGTTTCTTTATAGGAAATACTCAGAAACAAGAAACACATTCTGTTTGGGGTTTTTATGTGTATCTATAACTGATTTGTCACTTTCTCCCCTTATTCATGGTTGGATCTTCAAATTTTATGATGAATATTGGTCAGATCTACTCACACATGTTTGTAATTTAGCAAGAACTATTACATTCACTGCAGGCTTCATCACTTGAACAGAATCAATCACTGGTTTTAGTAAGAAGCTGAAAGGAGGACTCAGTTGCATATCATCAAGCAGACAGCATCTATCTTTCTGCTTTTATTCCTTTCTAAAGAGCACCTTGCTGTCATGAATTGCAGGACTTTGATTGGTTTTGAGGGTTCTGGGTTATCTTGCAAATTAGTTTATCGCTGTTTGGTGACTTCTGAGCTGACGTTCTAAGTTTAGTAATAGTTCTCTGTTACATTGTCTAGAAATACACAACATTAACTGGCAGCTCCGTGGCAGGTGGAGTAGGAAAGCTAGGAGTATGTAGCCAGCTACTGTGCTGGGCATTGTGAAGTGTATGTCTCACCAAACGAAAGTGAAATTGTAGTACAAGTAGACATAGTCACACTAGCCTTCATCCTATTTATCTGAGGAAAAGCAGTGATGAAGATTCGGTGATTTGTGCTAACAGTTTGAGCACCCAGAAACCCATGGGATTTCAAACTATACAGAAATCCATTGTAAAACCTCCCTTTTACTACTGTTATCAGGGTAAATGAGATTGTATGCTGAATTGGAATGCAGTTATGCTTTCATTTGATGCAACATACCTTAGTCCTTATTTGGGGTAGCTGGATGGATTTTCCATATATTTTACCTGATTTGCTTCCTACTAGCTAAAATAATCTAAAATGCATAGAAAGTAGTAGAAACAGTAAGGGAGGCTGGCAAGTAGAGACTGCAAAGGGAACATAAGAGTTTAAACAAAATGTTCCCTTTATCCTGCTTAGTGGTTTGGATATACAACCTATTACAGCTGATTCTGATTTAGAATTTCGTGTCAGTGAAAAGGAGTAAACTCTAAGCAAAAAAATAAACTTTGTTTGTCAATATGTACATTGGAATAAAAGTGAGGTGGAAAAGGAAAGTTGACTGAAATGTCCATTGCGTCTTTTGTGGTAAATTGTTTTTTAGTTTAAGTTCTGTGCTTAAGAAAATATTTAATGGTCCATTGCAAATGTAAAATCAAAATATTCTGGTTTCCATAAAAACTCAGAATAATTTTTAAAAATTTAAAAAAGGTTAAAATTGTTCAGTGAGCTATACTGAACAGCAGTTATACTGGTCATTTTACAGCTGTATGTTTTGTAAATATATTTAAAAAAGAGATGAATATTTATATTGTTCCTTGTTTTCATACACTGCTAATTCTCTGTATGACATTCTTTTGTAATTATTTGCCTTTCTATGTAGCAACATCTGGGAGCGTCCTTCTAGACCCTTTTCCCGAGATGTCATCATTCGCTGGTTCAAAGAAGAGCAGATCCCTCGACGTGCTGGTTTTGAGAGGAACACCAACAGGATTGCTCAATGGTTTCATGGTAATACACTGATCTTTCATTTCTTATATAATAGAGCTTGTAAGCGTGCGCTCAGGAAATAAATCTTGCCAGCTTTTGTCACAACAAGGAACATCTACTGACATTGTGAAACCCAGTGCATGTTAAAACAAGATTTCTACTTCATTCCTATTATTAGCATATGATTTTCCTGTTTTCTTTTTTTCCAATTAAATAGACTAATTTGTGACTCATATCACCAAAGGTTTTTTCAGGAATATTTTGGCCAAAATATACTTGCTGTAAAATAGCAAGTCAAGCAGGAGGAATGAGACCAAGATAGGGTGAGGAGGGCTCCAAAAAGAAACTGTAAATACCATGGTGATATGGTATGTGGATGACTGACATTCAAGTTTTTACTTTACCTGATTTGCAAGGAGGACTTGAACTCATGTCTGTTTAATCCCTGTTTTTTTGCAAGCAACAATTATTGAAAGATCTTGATTTTTCTCAGGAAGACTTGGGAGTGTATGTTTTTAGGCAATTTTCGTGAAATGGGAAAACCAATTCCCATCAGTTCAGATAAATAATTTGCTGTCATCTCTGCTGGAGTTCCTAGCATCTCTGAGGCTTTTCCTCTGTATAGCATTTGCTATGCAGCTGAATCTTGGATATCAAATTCACAGGTAAGGCATCTTCATAGACACTAGCAACGATCTTTATATTTGTTATACTTAAACATGAAAAAAAAAAAAGAATTCTAGCTTAATAGCTGACATAATTGACGGACTGGAAAGGCTTTAAAGTTAAATCTCAATATTTTTTCATTGCTACTTTTGGTGAGTCAGATATTTCTTTGTTCAAAGTACTAAGCTGACCCTGATCCTGTTTTCATGATTCTCTAAGCATAAGATGAAGATGTGTGGGCGTTCTAAACTGAACCAGGCAGGGAAGATTTCTGAAGATGTATTTCAGATTTCTCTTTATGATACACAAATCATTATGTGTTAAAAGACATCAGCAAGTGGCTATTTTCAATGGCTTAATTAGCTGAAGGCACTGAAGTCAGTCATGAATAGCTTTTAAATGCTACATACTTTCATTTCTTATGAACAATGATGCAGATGGGGTTTTTGTTTTCTTACAAAAGACATTTGGTGTGGTTTCTTTCAGAGAGACAAACTGATTAAAATTTCCTCTCTGGACATTTTTCAAAAGCATTTTTCAACCATGATCTTTCTGTGTGGTCCAATGGTAAATGTGTTCCCTGCTTGTGGGAAGTTTACATCCATATAAATTGACACAAGTAGTTATGAACATAATTCAGGCCTTAAGTTAAGAAGGCATCTGGGCTTGAGCTAATGCCCGTGCAATCTTTCTACTAACTTCAGTGGCTTTTAGGTTAGTCTGTTCATCACTGCAAGAATTGAGGAATTCGTGATCTTTCTTTAGTTTCTCAGATCATGTGACTATCCAATGACATTTATGAAAGTGGCCTCATTTGTCCTCCTCCCACTCAAGGAGCCTGACAAAGATATTTAAGATAAGTTCCTAGCACAAAGCTCAGTGGTTTTCTTTGCCGGCACCACATGAATGTTGCTTTGGTACCTAGTTGCTGAGTTAGCTGTTTTAACTTCTGCAGCTCTGGTCAGATTCATTGTAAGCTTAGTGAACAACTCGGCTGCCTTGTAACGCTTCTGGAGTGGTGGAAGCTAAACATCAGGTTGTTACAGATGCAGTAGCCAATGTTTTGTAGTGTTATGTAGTGCTTATGTTATATTTTGTAACAAACTTTGAGGAAAAACAAAAAACCCAAAAGAATCCAGAGCAAAATATGAGACAGTGTTGACATTAACTTATTTTTTCCAGGAAAAAAACCTTCCTCATTGAACTGGCCTCCAATCTGGGGGGTGGAGGAAAGTGGGGAGGGGAAGGCAACCAAAAAACTTTTGATCCAGCCAAAAAATCTTTTTTCTATTCTTTATTTACCAACTAAAATAAAGATTGTGACTTCTATTGCATAGGCCTATTTAGGATATTCTGTGTGGTGTTGTTTTGTATTGTATTCAGGGAACCAGCACATATATATGTTTTTTTGTGTATGAACAAAAATACAGCAGAACGCACCTGGCTTGTCTAAGAAACTGGCAATACAGATGAAAGCCATTCTGCCAGGCCCAGAATTATGGCTAACTTGAGCCAATGGGGCAATATCATCATTGTCATTGCCATAGGTGGATGTTTCTGTGGAAAGAACTGCTGCTTACAATTTAATGTTGTCTAGTATTATGATGACGGTTCTTAAACCTCAAGCATCTCTCAAAACAGGTATAATCAGGTTCTTCACATCCTTGAACAACTTCTGTATTTTCTTACATCCTAGTTTTGGACCATAACATGGGAGGATAATCTGCCTCATGTTAAGGGCTTTTTGAATGCAGTGCACCAAGAGGTCTATCACAGTAGTACTGAAAAAGTAGATATTAGTTTGTTACAGAATTACATGTTTTTGCCAAGGTCAATAGACCTTTGCTTAGCTGCTTTGACTGTCAGGTTGTCCAGCTTTTTAGCTAAAGTTAAGCATTAGCTGATTCACTGTCTTCAAATTGTGCTCTAGACATATGATAGGATCTACTAGACATTCTGATAGTATTTTGCAAAGATAGTACAGTATTTTGAGTTAAGTATTTAGAACCTACGTAGATTCTGGTACTTGATTACGGGTGTCTCGAAGTCAAGTCAGACCCATAACATACGACAAAACCCCAAAACTTCATCAGCTCTAATTCAGTTCTCAGCTTCTTCCTTAAGAAATGGGGGTGTTTTGCTGTTTTCTGAGAAATAAGATGATCTTTCATATACTAACTCATTCCACTTAGGTCATAATGATTGTTTCAGTCTGTCAGTTCTTTTGAAGGCTTTGGAATTGTTTTTCTAGTGCCATTACAGTTCCAAAGTGTCTACACAGACAGGTTATTAGCAAACAAAATAAATGTTTTAGACTCATGGCTCCACTTGGAAGGGAGCAAAGTATCAGAGTGAGGTAATGTGAGCTGTAACATGCTGCAAGGAGAAAGGAAGCACAAAAGAGCAGCAGGGAAATTGTAGAATGAGGCAATTGAATAATTAATGTAAATAGGCTAATTGCTAATGTGAAATGAGCTTTCTTATTCTTTTACAATACATTGTCCTTCCTGACTGCTTTTTAACTGGAAGCTATATTCTAAAGATTAGGCGTGTTCTAAAGATAGAAGGCAGCAATTTTTTTGACCAGGTATTGTAGACACTAAAAATGAGAGATAATAAAGAGCATGAGACCTCGAAGGGGAAACAAATTTGATGAAATGTTAACGATTTCATGGATACAAACAGGTCAGGTGCAGTGCTCGTACAGTGCACTGCTAGTCAAAGATTTAAAAAAAAAAAAAAAAAGTCCTTTCAAGTTTGTACCATACAATTCTTTGCATTTGTGAAGAATATGCACCATTTTTTTTCATAGTTTACTTTCAGGTGAATTTACTAATCTCTTAATGAAAACTATTTTTCTATTGAAAATAAAATTGCTTTACATTCTAAGGACTTCTTGCCCCCTATATTTAAAACACTTTAAGATTTTCTTCCCCATGTGCTACTATTGGAGCATGACAGAGTGAGCAATTATGATTAAATTTAGTAAGCCATCGTGGTAGCTTAATATGTTTACCTGAAATTTTACATTACAGTTCTGTGTTCTGTCTCCTTATTGAACTGGACTGTGTGAGAGTACATTTCTCTCTTACTGCAGCTCCTTCAGTCAGGCTTTTTTTATCACATTACATAAAAGAAAAAGGAGAGGTGTTCATGAGTAGAATGCTCTGCTGTTAGTGTTTGGAAATGAAGAATAATTTATAAAAACCAAATGACATGAGAGCATGAGTTATTTAGAAGAAATCATATATAAAGACTGAAAACTGACCCATTTTAAAGAAAATAAAGAATGTTAGATTCAAGTACAAAGCCCTGACATCTACAAAGGTTGTTAATGCTAAGACTGGAAGAAATTATGATGACTGTTTATGGTGACCAAAGTGAACGCAGAAGGCCTTGTTCATCTGTCCAGCAGCCTGAATCTGAGCTATGGTACCCTTTTACATATATTGTAGTCTGTTCCTTACATGCTGGATCATGCTTTCTCCTTTCAGCATCAACTGTATATGTGTTAATTGGTTGGTTAGTTTATCCACGCACAAGGTGCACTTAGATGTCAGTCGCTACCAGCACAAGACATTCAGCTCATACTGCGTATCTTTAAATGCTGTATCTGGATGTTTCCTGATCACCTTCTCTAGCATACCACCGGTCTCCTGTGTAGAATCTTGTTAGTCTTGGATGAATTGCTGAAATTCTTATTGTTAGTCCATATCTGTTTATCAGGCATGCCTCCAGCTCTTGTTCCTTTGCCTGCACACTTGCAATAACATGCTCTGTTTTGCAGCCCTCCATATATTTTCTTCAGTTTATGATAGACTAAATTATACTTATTATTTTATCTGCAGTATTTTCTGTTTAAAGCACAGCAAATACTTGCAGACCCAAGGTCAGAAAATTTTACTGGTTTCCCAGCAGATGGCCGCCTTACTGGTCCTTCCGTCTGGCTATGCAAAGGATTGAAACCACAGTCTTATTGATCTAGCCTCAAGGCAGAAGATTACAAGTTATTAGTTCGGCAGCTCCTTTGAAATAATGCTATTTTCCTGCCAAGCAAACACAACTCTCTCAAACAGGGTATCAGCAGGTATGGTGTGTAGTCATGCAGGGGGGGAAAGCACATGACTGCGCAAAATTATGTTGCTGGTTTAGCTTAACTCCAGTTCACCCGGTTAGGAGCAGACTGTGACACTTAAACTGCTTTCACCACAGAAGATAAACAGTAGGAGATGATATAGAAACAAAGGGAAGAGATTTCCATGACTCTGTAGGCAACTAACCTCTAGGTGCAACTTCACCATGTGACGCTGGCACGGAGGCAGAATGAGGCGAAGTGTGGGAAAGGTGAATTTGCC